AATTATTAGGTATCATCAATACATTGATCAGGCAGACGACATATTTGGGAAATTGCACGGCGCACTTCTCCATTCCTTGTTTTTATATTCACTACACACACATTCTTATCTTGTCCACGAAATACCTCAATAATTCTACCTAATCTCCACTGTAATGGAGGTAAAGATTTATCTCTAATTAAAACCAAATCACCAATTTTTATATTTTCTTTTTCTTCGTACCATTTAGATCTTAATTGTAATTCGGTGAGGTATTCACTAGACCACCTTTTCCAAAAATGTTGGAACAGCATTTGTAAATGCTGATATCTAGACAATCTAGAAATTGGTATTTCTGATAAGTTTGGATCAGGTAGTGTAGTTAACCTACGTCCAATCAGAAAATGTGATGGTGTTAGGATTTCGTAATCATCTGGGCTAGCTGACATAGGTACTTTTGGTCGCGAATTTAATATAGATTCGATTTGGGTAAGAACTGTATAAAGTCCCTCAAAGGTCAGAGTAGAATTACCAAGAATACGTTTTAAATGTAATTTGCACGATTTTATCCCAGCTTCCCAAATGCCTCCGAAATTTGGTGAGTATGAAGGTATGAACTTCCAAGAAATATTTTCATTAACCAAGTGTTGAGATATTGAGTTAGATTCCTTCCTTAGGAATCCGACAAGCTGCAGAAGTACCCGGTTGGCACCGACAATGTTTGATCCATTGTCTGAAAAAACGCAACTGGGTTTGCCTCTCCTTGCTACAAACCTACGAAAAGTGGCAATAAAGAACTCTGTTGTTAAGCTAGGCACCAAGTCCAAATGTATTGCCTTAGTTGAAAGACAAATAAATAAGCAAATATAACATTTGGATACCTTTGCTCCCCTTCCATGCCTGTCTTTAATAGACAAGGGACCTGCATAATCAACTCCCACATTATAAAAGGGTGGTAAAGGACTTACACGTTCTTCAGGAAGTGTTCCCATAATTTGGCTCACAGAAGTGGGATTTGTACGAAAACATTTTATGCATTTAAATAAAATTTTTCTAGCTAAATTCCTGCCATTTATTACCCAATATTTATCCCTGATTGAACTTAACAACATTTGTGGACCAGGATGTAATAATCTTTCGTGCTCTGATTCAAATAACAGGTATGTGAATTAATGTTTTGCTGGGAGAAGAAAGGGATGTTTTTTATTATATTGAATATTTGAATAGTGAAGTCTTCCCCCAACTCGAACAAAGCCATTTTCGTCTATAAAAGGGTTGAGTCGATGAACTGATTTCAATTTAATTTCATGCTTACCTTGAATGCATGCAATTTCTTGACCAAAAAACTCTTGTTGAACTATTTTAATTAAAACCAACAATGCCTTCCTAATTTCATCTAAACACAGAGGACCCGTTAATTCAGTTTTACTTAACTTGAGTATATTTCCAAAGCGACGACAGTGGGCGACAGTTCTAATAAGATGATTGAACTTGTTAAAATAATGAAAAGGAAAGATAATTTCAGATACTGTTAAATCACAAAGATTTTTTCTCTTTTTTCCTTCTGGTAAGTCTTCAAAACACGGAATTTTATCATCTGCCCAATTATGTTCTTCCAACCACAAAAAATCTGGTCCATGCCACCATGTTGAACAGTTTAAAATTTTATCAGGAGACAAACCACGCGACAGTAAATCAGCTGCATTATTCTCTGACTTAACGTACCTCCAGCTGTCAATATTGGTCAAATTCTGAATCTGACTTACTCGGTTTGACACAAAAGTTTGTAGAAGACTTGGACACATTCTCATCCAACCAAGAACCACTGTTGAATCACACCAAAGAAAAATATTATCGAACTGTAGCTTCATGGATTCCATTACGGGCTTTTTCAATAACTTAGCCAATAGTAAAGCTCCACACAACTCTAACCTTGGGATTGTTTGGGTTTTAAGAGGAGCCACCTTAACTTTGGAACATAACAGCGAAACCTGGATGTCATTATCACTGGAAAAACTTTTTAAATATATGCAAGCTCCATATGCTTCACACGATGCATCAGAAAATCCATGAATGTCAATTCTAACTGGATTTTTTAAAAGTACATGTCGATTTATAGATAAATTATTTAAATTATAAAATTGAATCTTTAGTTTTTTCCACTTTGAGTCCAAATCCATTGGCAATGTTTCATCCCATGATAATTTTTCGGACCACATTTTTTGTAAAAGGACTTTGGCAATTAGTATAGACGGTCCCAGAAGTCCAAGTGGTTCAAAAATCCTTGCTATATCAGATAAAATAGTTCGTTTGCTAGTTCTTGTAGAAGTAGTAAAATTGATACTAAATATCAAGTTATCTAGTTTGAATGACCAAAACAATCCCAAAGTTTTATGTTGATCTTTCTCACCAAAATGAATATCTTCCAAATTTGAAGAATAATGACCCCCAAAAGTCTTAATAACATCTGAATCATTCGACACCCATTTTCTCAATTCCATACATCCAGATCTTAAGATACAATCAACATTTTTACATAGCTCCAAAGCACTTTTAGTATCATTTGACCCAGTTAACATGTCGTCAACATAGAAGTCTTTTAATATAACTCTTGAAGCCAGTGGACAAGAGTCAGTGTTTTTCAATCCTAGCTCTTTCAAACACCTTATGGCCAAGTATGGAGCCGACCTTGTACCATAAGTAACTGTGTTCAATGTGTACTCATTTATTTGACCGTCAGGTGTGGGTCTCCACAGAATCTTTTGTAATGACCTTTGAGAAGGGTCGACCAAAACCATTCGATACATCTTAGCCACATCTGCACAAACAACCACATTATGCTTTCTAAACCTCAAAAGAATGGCTAATAACTCGTCTTGCAAGTTTGGACCAGTATACTGAATGTCGTTCAAGGATACTCCTGTGTCAGTTTTTGCTGACCCATTGAACACCACTCTCATCTTTGTAGTTGTGCTATGTTCACTAAGAACACCATGATGGGGTAAGTAATAGGAGATTTCATCCTTGATTTCAGCTCCAAGCGACTGTTCTACCAATGACATATGTCCCATGCTTTCATATTCTTCCATAAATGCCACATACAAATCTCTCATACTAGAATTTTTAAGAAGTCTTTTTTCCAAAGATAAAAACCTATTCAAAGCATACTGTTTCGAGTCTCCAAGTTTATCAGGTGAATCAGCCAATGGAATTTTCACAATAAACCTCCCTGTCGTATCACGAACTGTTGACTCAATAAAAAGCCTTTCACACTCCACATCTTCCTTTGAAATTACCTCATTCTCAACCGACAGCTCCTCTATAGCCCAGAATTTCTCAAGTTGTTCTTGAATATTAAGATTCAATATTAGATTACAATTTGTATTTTTAAAATTCACATTAGGAATGATCGATCCAGTAGCAATTCATCCAAGCCTTGTTTTTTGAAGCACAGGTTGGTTCTTACCTAATGGAATTTGTCCAACACACAACAATTTATAAAAGACATCAGCTCCAAGTAGCATATCGACTTGACCAGAAATTGCAAAAGACGGATCTGCGAGCTTGATATGAGGTGGAATCTCAAAGGGCATATTTAAATTTTCACTTGGAATAGAACTATTTATATAGGGAACAAGCAAACAATTGATCTCTAATTTGAAAGGATAATGTAGTGAATTAATTAGTAATGAACACTTCTTTTTTATGTTTGACACAGTCTGATTAATTCCAACTATTGAAATGTCAATATTTTGTGTGGGATAGCCTAACCTTTTAAAGGCTTCCATGGTAATGAGATTGGACTGTGAACCATTGTCTAATATAACTCGCAAAGTCTGATGCCTACCATAAGCATCACGAACTTGCACCAAAGCGGTTGACAGCAACACTTCCGGCCAAGCATTACTGTTATTTGAGAAAAATGATTTTAATTCAACTGTAGGTTGATTATTTGAACCATCCGGTTCATCAGGGGATTGATTTCTCAAAGTACCTCTATTGTTAGCATTATCATTCACTTGATAATCATAATGTAACAAAGTATGATGACTATAGTTACACTTCCTACATTTACTCGACTCACAATTTTTGCTTGTATGACTACCCTTACGGAAGCAATTCAGACACAGCCCTAAACTTCTTGCTCTTTCATACCTTTTTTTTACAGCTAATTTCAAAAAATCTGAACAATTTGTTATGAAATGTTTATCTTTACAATTAAAACAAACAATGTTTGTAGCTGAGTTTGTAGCCGAGTTTGTAGCCAACCAAGACTTGCTCCTATGCTCAGGTTTTTTAAAATTGTTTTCATTTTTCCATCCATCTTTATTACTCACCTTCGGTTTGTTTTTCTCCAAAGCTGCTAACATCTCAATCCTATTTTTTAAAAATGTCTTGAACTCATTCAAGCTTGGTAGCCTATCACGAGGCTTTTTTTCTTCCCATACCCTTTGACTCGTCAAGTCCAGCTTACCACATACTAGGAAAATGACTATTGGGTCCCAATTATCTGTTTGAATACCTAATTTACCTAATGCATGTAAATGCTTAGTTATATTGTCAACAATGTTACGTAGGTCGATATGTGATTCTTTGCTCATAGAAGGTAGATTAATAAGGAGTTTAAGATGATCATTCACCAACACTGCTGAATTATCATATCTTTCACACACCATATCCCAAATAACTGAATAATTAGAAGCTACCATGTCAACAAGATGAATCACTTGTTTGGCATTGCCCTCTAAAGCACCCTTCAAAAAATATAGCTTCTCCATATCACCAATAGAATTATTTGAATGAATCAGGGAAACAAAGGTATCCCTAAACTCTAGCCAGTTTTCTGATGTACCATTAAATTTTGGAATCGGAATTGCAGGTAATTGAGGCCTAGAAATAACATTTCCTGCAGCTGCAGGTGCCGCAGCAGGTGCCACTGCAGGTGCTGCAGGCGCAACCGAATGTGCCACCGAATGTGCCACTGAATGTGCCACCGAATGTGCCACCGAAGGGTTGGAAACACTTGAATTATTGTCTAAAAGATTTGATGGTTGATTATCGTCCAAAATAGTTTTATAATATGCTACGGTTTTATAATAAGAGTTTTCAAATGCTCCCCACTCCCCGGTTTCAGCATCCAAATTTCCTAAGGGAACAATCTCCTCAATTTGACTTTGAACCTCCTGGAAGTTATCCAAAAGACCCACCAACCTTTCTAATCTAATTTCTACCTCATGTAATGTTTGATTATCAGGTGTTTGATCTACTAATTTATTTATAAAATTATAAGCCACAGTGACTTTGCCTTTAAGGACAGCACGCTTTCGTTTTAATTTAGCTTCTAATTCTGCCATATTCATGATAAATTCTCCAAATTAAAGTAAACCAATAAATGTTAAATGTTTTCATAAAAAATATGCCAATGTTAAATTCTATCACAAAATACTATGTCAAATCACTAAACAACAAAATAATAAATAGGTAACTTACAGATTTGGTCCATTGAAACTGTTTTTTTTTTTATATAATACCATCCAACACAATCCCTTTGTTCACTTCTCGGTTTACTTTCATAAAAACCAAACACCAAATTCCTTTTTTATTAGCCAATAAGCTTACCGGCGTTTTAATTCACCAGCACTCCAAAAAGTTTCTTACAATGAACAAGTCTCAACTTGTCTAAGCGTGCAGTCTCAATCCAATTCAAATCTGTGTCCAACCAAAGTATGTGGGTATCCAAATTTTGTATTCATTCAGTGTGTAGGTTAGGTACCGAAGCCAATCCAAAGCCAATCCAAAAAGCCAATATTTTAACACAGGTTACTCTAATTATTTATAACCAAAATCCAAAAATCCAAAATCTGGCTATCGAAGGACCATATGTTAGGGCTTTACCCGCTATTTTTGGTTCTCCACAATGTTCGAAATAATAAACAACTTTAACTTATACTAATTAAAGGTTTATTCACCAAAATAAAGCACAAGGCTTTCCAGAGAAATAAAATAATGCCATTCGGACCAAAATTCTAGAAAAACCCAATTAGAATGACAATCAATCAAGAATATTCAATGACCTCAACCTCATTTCTTGCCCATACAAGGGCGTTCATAATTCACTTAGGAACTACTCCTATCTTCTATCTTTGTCTTTCTTATAGAATCAAATTAACCTATAAGAGAAACATAAAAAAATGCAGCGTTGTCACTGTGACTTTTACAATGACTATTTATTTAGAAATAGAAACAAAAATACAAACTCAACAAAGCGATACTTGCAATTAAAGTTGTTTTATTATGTTTAATAATTAATAATAATAATTAATAATTATTAATAATAATAAAAAAACTTTAATGGTAAGTATTTTTATTAAGGCAGGTAGGTATCGATTTTATTCCTACTGAAACAAGAGGCTATTTCCAAGATTTTGACAAGCTGTCATTTCGTTACGGATGGAAATAATAAGACGAAATTCCAGAGTCACAAAGAACTCGATGAGACCTTTAATAGGAGGTATGACACGAACCCTATCCCATATTCAAATTTGGAGGGCTGTTCTCCCCCCAGCTAGGGGGTTAAAGCTACGGGGATGAAAAAAACTGAAAAATGGTTCCCCCTCAAATCAAAAATCGACGTGTCCGAGCGTTTTTCAAATTTTCATTTGAAAGCCAAAAAATCAGGGTGGAAAGTTTCCATTGGCCCACCCTGTATTATATTATATTAGTCACACACCACCAGAGAGCACTTCCATATTATTCAAATTTGTCGTAGAATCATTACACTGATATCGGCTTAATACAAGATTCAATAATGAGACGAACAAATTTTGGTCATGCCATAAGGATTTCTGCTGCCAATAAAAACTGTAATATCTAATTCATGAGCCATTTACCTAATGTGCTGTTGCATTTTTTATAACGATATGCGAAAATGTCGTAAGAATCTGTTTATCATCATAAAGTTCACTAACAGCATAAAACTATTGGATAAAATACCTGGATATAGTTTTTTTTTCACGCATCCAACATGTTCTGTTTACCCTAGCAGTATAGTAAACTTGTGCTAATATTTGCCGAGTGAAATACAGATAATCAGATACAATATTTGAATGGCGTAATGAATCAGAGTAAAGGACGTTAAACTCATACATTAGGTATGTTTAAAATCTCAAGTTAATACAGAAGTGAATTCATGGTATTATCTGATGTTGATGCATTATTTTAATCCAAGAAAATCCAACAAGAGAGAAGGATAGGAACACACATTAAGCAGCATTTCGGCGGCTTATATAAATCGCAAGCGGAGCAAAATCAATTACTATTATTCAGGCACGTGGAAGTAAGGCAACGCCAACATATCCTTTGTAAATATTAATAAACTTTTCGTATCAGCGTCAGCAGATCAGTTTGGGACCATTAGCGCTCATTGTTTTCAACTGAAAATTGTTTTAGTACTGAAAAGGCGTTTTTCTTGGCATTAAATTAAATAACTTCTCATTTGTGTTAAGCATTTATCTATTTATGAATCTATTTTCAGTTTAATTATGTTCCCTTCCATGTATTCATCCAATAGCAACGCTGTTAATTTAAACTTGCTGCTTCATTTCGTTTGTTACTAACAGGAAAACGGTTGATTGCGTAGGGCGGGTGGCGAGTAAAAACGATTTAATGCAGTGATGTTTTTGGAATAACACGTTCGCAATGAAATACGGACTCTCATTATACCGTTGTGGACCCAAGCTATTGTATGAATCAATCTGAAATTATAAATTGTTAAGTCTTTCTCGAAAAAATAAATGTAACATAAATTAGTTTTACTTACCTAATTTAAATTGTCTAGTCAATAAAATCAAATTTGTATCCATCTCAACTCCTCATAGAATATTCTAAAATCTAAATTAACAACTGTAATAGCTGGCTATTATCCTTAACACGAAGAGATGCCGCAACTGACAGGGACTAACTGCCCCAGGACTACCATGAACATTTTCTTAAATCCAATTACCCAAAGTCTGAGCAAACATTAACCACCCTGAGTGGTATATGTGTGTATATGCACGTGTACGGCATTCATTAGATGTATAATATGCAATTTATTGGGGTATGAGTAATATAAATTACCCAAGCTACATACTAATTTAATTTTATACCCAGTTCTATATTGAATCTGCGATATGGAATGCATATTGCTTTAACAAACAACCGCAATCATTTGTAATTTAATCATTTTAATAATAAATTTGCGTTTTCTTAGTCTAGGTCCACCCCTGCCCCCAAGGCACCGTCACCGGGGCAAAACTTTACGACCATACTGATTTCCCTTCTCCCAGGTGGTGACGTTATATTCGCGTAGCTATTCGGCCGTAATTGTGTGTGACTTATTATGTAAGTTTCTATAGTCGAAAGGTTAAATTATAATGAGATACTGACGTATTACCGGAGACATTAAATCCATTCCATTTCACGTGTGCAGACGATTATTAGTTTATTACACACACGTTCTCTAGTGAGGCTTATTGTAACAAATTTAATGAACAATTTCCACGACTTCGTTGTTGCTTCAATGGAGTAATGTAATTCAATAGACTGGGTACGGTTTTATTGTTTTAAACTTTGACAAAACAGCTCAGGGAAAGTAGTTCATAATTCAAACCCAAATACCCACTTCTTTTCATGTATATCTATAAAATCTAGCATATAGCATACAAAAATTATAAAATTGTTTACCGGGAAACCTATTTTGATAATTTCACGATAAGTTTTGAACTCTTAAAAACACAATTAAGAATTTTTCTTCGGCAAAAATCGGTGCCGAAACGCGTGTTCGCAGACGATAAGGCCAAAATTGAAATTCTAAATTTCAAAACGGTTTAATAATTGAGTCTTTTAGACCGCACCTTATGCGGGATTCTTCGAGAATAAACAATGTTCGAGCCGAAAGTTTCTTGATTATATTCTCTCTGAAAAAGGGAGCATTTTTTTTACCAATAAAAAAGTAATTACTAGGCTATGAGCAGCCTTGATTCATAAATTATTAATTGAAATACTTGACATATATTAAAAATAATTTGGAGATTATTTGGGATTAAGCATATTATTTTTCGCATTATTGAGATATTTTTTATTAAATTGTTATTTTTGTATATAAAAAATCTTAAAAATAATAAGAGTTTTAGTCTAGGAAAATAGTCAAAAAATACACGTATTACAAAAAAAAAAATTCCTACCCAAATGAACTTTTCAGGGATGATAGGGGGCGAAACCGAAAATATCAAACATTCACCCCTCTGGCGTTTTGCGCTACAGGGGTTGAAAGTGCGCCATTGGCGATTACTTGGTACCCATTCATTTTACAAAAAAATGTTTCAAATAAAAGATGTGCAACATTATTTGATCTACAATGTTTATCTAAAGACTTTTTTAATTAAGGGCCGTCTGTGGTCATAAGGGCCGTTTGAAATTTTATAATGGAAATGAAAAATTTTAACCAACGTGAAAAATTTTTCCACAACACATACAACATTTTTGCTTTATGAAGTTTTTACTCACCCCCTGCCGTTTTTCAATAGAGGTAGTTTAAAGTTTATTTATTTTTTCACAAAAAAAAATTCCTTATAAAAGTTTTATAAGATTACATTTCCTACAATTTTTTCCAATAAACTTTTTTTGTAACTCATCCCCATTCAGCGGGGGGACACTTCCCTTAGGGAAATTTTAGTTTTTAGGGGTATATATTAATTTTTTTTTCTTTTCTTGCCTTTAGTGCAATTAGCATTATATTAAAATATTTTTTTTTCCACCGCCTTTTTGTTTTTAGGGGTAGTTCGCCTATTTTCAACATTACAAAAAAAAGTTAGGGAGGAAAGTTGCTCAAAATAATAAAATGAACAAGTTTTCTTTATAAATTTTTTTTGTAAAATTAAAAATAGGCGAACTACCCCTAAAAACAAAAAGGTGGTGAAAAAAAAATCCTTTTAATACAATGTTAATTGCAACTTTTTATATGCACTTAAGGCGAGAAAAGAAAAAAATAATAATATATACCCCTAAAAACTAAAATTTTCCCGAGGGAAGTGTCCCCCGCTGAATGGGGGTAAGTTACAAAAAAAGTTGATTAGGAAAAATTGTAGGAACTGTCATCTTATAAAACTTTTATTAAGAAAATTTTTTTGTAAAAAAATAAAAAAACTTTAAACTACCCCTATTGAAAAACGGCAGGGGGTGAATAGAAACTTCATGAAGCAAAAATGTTGTATGAGTTGTAGAAAATTTTTTCACGTTGGTTAAAATTTTTCATTTTCATTATAAAATTTCAAACGGCCCTTATGACCACAGACGGCCCCTAATCAAAACAGTC